GGCCTCCTTGGGCTGCTGGTGAGCTTTTAAAGGGAAATYGTGGTGGAGTCAGGACAAACTTTGAGAGTGGATTATCCCAAATTCTCCTTGTGCAGTGAGCACACGGTGGTGGGGTCCCTTTCCCACATGGCAATGAGCAAATTCTTTCCTCCTTGTGTCTCTCCTGTCACAGGAAACCAGGGCTGGCTGATGGATGTCTCCCACTTCTTTTTCTCCCCAAGGGATGACATGAGAAAAGAGGAGGAAAGAATATGCCTCTGGGCAAAGTTTTAACATCTCTTTTACCTTGTGATCTGTCTCAGAACCTGAGCAAAGCCCAGAGTGTGACTCTGGTAGATCTTGTCCCCACCACATCTCCTGTTACTGAGGGCTTTATAAGGCAAAGGCTTCTTTATTCACACAATTCACTTTTCTTGGTGTATTTTAGAGAAAATGCATCAGTCTGGAAAAGGATTTCTCCTTGAGAGAAATAAGATTTTCCCACACAGAATCTGCAGATGCCATGTTGAATTTTGCACAGATCCCCATGGAACCTGGTGCCTGTGTAGGGTGAACACCAGTTTATTAATGATGGTAATTCTGATCACAGGACTTTGCACAAATGTGGACAGTTTTGTGTTGTGAGGTCACAGAGATTGGATTTGGTTTTTTTTTTTTTTCCTGCTTGAGTGTTGTTGGACACACCAGACCAGCATGAAGGGTCTCAACCTAACTTTTAGTGCTCCTTCAATTGGTGAAAAGGATGAAATTTCACATCTCATGAGTCTGTTCTTTACTTTCATTGGAGACATTGGGGTTTTAGTCTCTCAGCAATGGTCAGGCCAGTGTTGATGCCATTTGAAAATCACACCTTTGAGCAGCTGCAGGCTGAAAGTCCCTTTTGAACTCGGTGGATCAGCTGAATCTTCTAAACTAAGTGACAGGGAATATCATCTTTAGTGTGTCCCTGCAAAAAGGGAATGTAAATGATCATAAATGGTCTTCAGATGTGGTACAGAAGAGGGAGAACATGATAAAATAAAAGGACTTGGCTTTTGGGAGAGACAAGATGATTTGCAAACTCCACCAGGAGAGCTCTGCATCCAGCACACACCTGTAGCTCAGATGCCTGAAACCYATTTTAATGCCTAATTTGTATCACTCTGATTAAAACATGACCCCAAACCTCCCTTAAATTAATGTTGCTTTTCCTTAAATACACRAGCAGCTTCAGCTTGCCTTTGAGGGCTGTGCAGAATGCCCACACCTCCCAAAATCCTGGAGATTCCAGCAGGATTTTGCAAAATGAAGGTTTATGCTGCAAATCTCTTTCAGATCAACTGCAGGGTTATGGGGGAGTTGGATACAGCATCTATGGAGACATGGGGCTGTTTTTAGAGGGAGAGACCCTGTTCTGAAAGCTACAGCCTCATCCAGGCAGAAATCTTTGCATAAAGAACTCGTGACATGAGTGGAACGATGTTGGAATTTCTGCTAAATCTCATTAAGCCTTAAGGAAGCCACATTAAAAAAAAAATAAGTGAAAGCAAACCTCTTTAAGAGGAGATTTATGCCAGAAAAACTGGAATCCCTCTCACCTCCCTGCCTGCCTAGAGGTTGGGTGTCTCCTTTAAGCTGGTTTTATCTGCCCCTTGCCACTCTGTGGGCACCTCTGTGGGGTGAAGTGGGTTAAGGATGGTTTGTTCTGCAAGGAGTGGGGTGGATTATCTGCTAGGAGCAATTAKGGAATGAGGATCTGAGTTGCTGGGCTTTTTTCTGTTGTTAATATTACATTTGCCCCCTGCAAACATGGGATTTGAATCAGGGGAAGTGCTCTGGCCATTGCTGCCCAGGAGTCTGAGGGATGGACATTCTTTTATTTTATCCTTTCCCAGATCTCAGGAACAGCTGAGTGAGGAACAGGGATGAATCCTGCATCCCACCCCCTCCTTCAGCCTGACCCTAAGGATGGCTTTAAATGCAYCACTGAGCTTCWKYCCAGATTCCCTGGAGCTGCTGGATGTTGAGCATCTCATCCCTCCTCCCTCAGCTGTTTCGGAGGTGAGCTGATCCATATTTTGGTTCCATCCTTTTCCCTTTACCTTCTGTTGACACTATTTTGGGCTCACCCAGCTGTGGTTGTGAAAGGTGAATCCTTCACAGAGGACCTGCCTTCCACCACCAGCTCCTTCCCTATGGATTTTCAGGAGCTGATGTCCACCCATCTGCTCCACCAGCCCAAGAATTCCAGCTCCAAGTGCACCTTGCACACTGGAGGAGCACGTGGAGTCCTCACCTCTTTTCTCTCAGTGCTCTTTTCTCCTCTGCCTCGTGCTTGGGATATGATAAAGGAACGAATCCCTCACAAAATCCCAAGAGTCTTGTCCCAAGCTTTGCTGAGGCTGGTCTTGAGCTCAAATTCCAGCCCCAGCACTTCTGCTGCTGGAAATTCTCATTTTTGGGTGAAGCTGCTCCGTTCTTTGAGTGCTGAAGGAGCAACAGACACAGATTCTCTAATCTCACAGAGGCACCTCTCAGGGTCAAATAGTTTTGCAGGGCATGAGGAGGCTTTTCTTTCCTTCCACCCACCCAGGAAATTCAGCATTATCCTGACTGTGTCCCTTTCTACTCATTCCTCCAAGATCAGCCCTTTCTGCCACCGTGCTGGGTGGCACAAATTCTTTGGCGGAGATGCTCTGGGTCTGAGCAAAGACCTCCAGTGCGTTCACTCTTCTTTCCTCAGSAGCTCTCTGAGCACAGGAATTAAGAGACAAAAGCAAAACCTCCCGATAGCCATTCCAGTAACTCCCTTTTTTAAAGCTCCTTAAATAGAAGTTGACCTATTTGGGGAAAGTGAGCCTGGCCTTGGCATTACAATCTAAAGAGCAGGGAGGGCYGGGGCTTGGAGGAGGGATGTGTGCCACAGGAAACGGCGAACTGACCTTGTCTGGCCCTAAATGAATCCAGGAGAGTGTGTGGGGGATGGATGGGAGCAGCTGGACTCTGGACACATCAGCGGGGGTTTTAAACCCTTCCCTGGGCCAGGGTGGCTCCCTGAGGGATGCAGCCCATGCTGTCCCTGTTTAAAAGCAGAACTGGCCCTTTCCGTGATGAGCAGCGCTTGCACAGACTCAACGAGCCAGGAGAAACTCGATTTGATTTTTAAAACACGCTGCCTTCCTAACAGCTTCCCTCCTTCTTTAAGAGAAAATCCTTGACCTTCCCTTTCACAGCGGGCTCTTCTCAGCATTTAATTTGCTTTGATATAATTACAGACCGGCCGGCAGGAGGAGGAGGAGAAAGAGGAAGAAGAAGAAGAAGAGAGAAGCGCTGCACGGGCATGGAGGAGCTCTAGGAAACCTCGCACCGGAGCGAAGGAGCGCTGAGCGAGCTCTGCTCTCCATCAGCGCCCGCATCCCCGGCACAGGCAGGGAGGGAGGCAGCGGGAGGATGAACCGGGGACCCGGAGAGTGGAAGGCAAAGAGCCCTCCGGGGCTCGGCGAGGCAGCGGGACGTGCGCTGCCATCCTCGGAACAGAGCGCAGCCGGCTCGGCGCGCTGGAGGAGCGGAGGAACTGCAAAGCCGGGCGAGGGAAGGGAGGGGGATGCTGGAAAAAAAAAAATAAAAAAGATGCGGCTCGTTCAGTGGATTAGGCAGCCGTGCCTGGAAGTGGCAAAGTGGAAGAGCCGCGGATTTGAGAGCCTGCGGGGATTATTCGCCCGCCTTGTCTGACTTGCAGCGCSACGGAGGCCGGCGAACTTCGCCCTGCGCTTTCCGCGGCCGGTGCAGCGATCTGCAGAGCGCCCTGGCAAACATCCTGGGCTGTGATTTCTGCCTTTTCAGCCGGGTTAATGACGGTGGAAGCAGCAGGAAAAGGGGGCTGGCGAACGCGAGCCGTTCTAGCAGGAGTTGTAGAAWGGCATATTCATCATGTCAGCACTTTGGAGGTTTCAGGATAAGACTGCATAAATAGGAGGAGGGAGACCTCTCCAAACAACCCTGATGGACATGCTGGAAGCACAGAGCAAAGGGAAAGCACTTGGGCTTCCCGATGCTGTAGATAGTGGCGACCTTGGCAAGACSGAGCAAAAATTAACCCCAAAGTTAATTCCAATTTCAGTCCCCACCTCAGCTCCAAAAACTCCTCAGCAAGATGCCAGCTATGGTGCCTTTGGGAAGCTGAGCATCATCCCGGTGCATGAACTGGGCAGGGGCTGAATAACCCAGCAGCTCCTCAGCTGGTAGCACTGTTGGTCCTTGGAAAGGACAATTCTCCCTGAGGTTGGTCACTCCAGAGCTGGGACAGGGCCGTGTCCCTCTCAGCTGGGACAGGTGCCCCATGCTCAGCATAACACCATCAGAATTGGCAAAATATTCCCTGTGGTGGCTTCCAAGCCTCATCTCATCTGTCTGCCTTTRAAACCTCCACTTCACCTCTGTCCCCACACAGTCCCCTCCACTGCCTTGCCCCTCTCTTTTCCCGGGCTCGGTGAGAACCATGGTACCAATGGCAAGACCATAAATCCTGGGCACTCATCAGAAAAGGTCCTACAACATTTAGATGTTAAAAAAAAAAAAAAAAGTTTGACTACTTTGACACCATCAGAGCATTGCATAGGCATTGAACCATTCGTCCTCACAACACAAACTCAAATCTGGCTTATGCAAGGAGGGAAACTGAGGCAGAGAATGGCTGTGTTTGCTCAGTGCCAGGTGGCAAACAGCAGCAGCACCTGCCTGCATCCTCCTTACACCACCATCATTCCTTTAGCCTGGATCAGGCACAGAAGAGCTGAATCCCATTTTTCCCTTGACACTGACTCTTTTTTTTCTTTTCTTTTCTTTTTTTTTTTTTTTCTCAGAGGAACGAGCAGAAATTTTACCCAGCAGAGATTTGTCCCGAAGCCGCGGCCCCCGACTTCCAGCCGGGATTGTGGGGAAATGAGCAACGCATCCGTCAGCTGCTGAGCGCTGGGATCGGAGGGGAGAGGCTGCAAAGGTGGGGAGAGGGAGCCACTTACATGGTAATGTTTCTGCACGGTTCTTTTGGATCATTATGCAGAGCTGTAGCACCAGTTGAGGGGCGCTCTCGAGGAAGGTTTCCAGGAGGCGCAGCATGTTTACGTCTGCATATTCGTACATCATAGCCCAGTAGAAGCGCCGCTGGTGTTCCTTCCGCCTCTGGCTCTGGATCCCCAGGTACATAGTTCGGATATACCTGCAGGAAACGGGAGGGGAAAGGTGAGTGGGTGATCTTGGAGGGCAGAAAAACCTGTCTGGGAGGGGTGGGAATCTGAGAAGATATCAGGGTCTGCATGGTTCTTCAGCTGTCTCCTGCGAGATCTGAGGAGCGCTTTGAGAACCCCATCAAATAATGTTGGAAAAGACCTCCAAGATCACCAAGCCCAGCCTTAAACTGGACGCCACCCTGAGAACAAAACCCTATAGTAAAACCCTGAGAACAAAACCCTATAGTAAAACCCTATGAACAAAACCCTATAATCAAATGCATTTTGTATGGCACGAGCAGGAAAACTTCAGCTGGTACCACCCAAATGTGATTCCTGGGGGAAGGAAATGCTCATGAAGCGCAAGAAAACAACTCCCTCACTTTTTTTCATCACAAAAAGAGAGGGTGCTTAACAAATGCCCGTCCTAACACTTGGCATTGTGTTGGCAGACCATCAAAGCCCCCTCAGCACTCTGGTAAGGAGCTTSTCTCACAGACCCCYGAGCTCAAAAARTGTTTRCACAACACCCTCAGGCACATTGTKGGATTCTTGAAGTTGTCCRRGAGTTGGACTTTGATGATMCTTGTGGGTCCCTTCCAACTCGGGATATTTTGTGGTTCTATGATTTGACCCTGTTTCATCACAGATGGAGCAAGGAGACATCGCCCTCACCTCCAGCACGTGTGTGACCCACAGCTGGGAAAGGCCACAGTTTGTCACTGGTCAGTTTTGGGACKTTGGGGTCTCAAATGGGGTGCCTCATGCATGGACAGGCACAGATTTGCCATTGCCCCTGCTTCCATGTCAGAGGAGACCTGTGAACCTCATGCCAGGGACACAGCTTCCCTTTAGAAGACATTTGGGTAAACTTTGGAACTGCAGCTGATCGAGGCAGGGCAGCACAAGGCACTCAGTGCCACAGGACTCGTGACTTTTGGAAAAGACCCCTAAAAGCATCCTTTTTAATGCTTGTTGATATCACAAAACCCCAKAATGGTTTGGGGTGGAAGGGACYTTAAAGATCATCTCCTTCCAAACCCCTGGAATGGGCAAAGACAATTCCCACTGTCCCAGGTTGCTCAGAGCCCCTCCAGCCTGGCCYTGGACACTTCCAKGGATTGCCAATCTAATATCAGCTCTTCCTCCTCATCCTTAGCAGAGTCTGTAACCTCGTTCGGGATGGGAATTGTTTCACCTAATGCCGACCCTAAAGCTGGCTACCCGAGCCAGCAAATCGTTGGAAATGTCCCCTCCCGGGACCGTTCATCTGTCCCAGCCCCGCTGCCAGCACGGCAATGGGAACAAGCGCCTTCTGGAGGCTCTGGGAGGGGCTCACGGCACGAACTGGGGTTTGGCCAAAACGATTAGATCATCCCCTGCCACTCGGGCGAGACTGCACAGCCGGGGAGAGCAGGAGGGAAGGACGCAAACCCGGGCAGCCTCTGGATTYCCAAATTCCACCCGGCGAGCTGCGAGAGGAGCAGAGGCAGCGCTGCAAACCCTGACCTTTCTCCAGCGTCTCGTCCTTCCTGCCCGCTCGCAGCTGACAGGCACGGGAGGGGAAAAATCCCCAAAGAAGACTGCAAGGACACCAAAAAAAAAAAAAAAATGACGCAGGAAAGCCACCAGATGGGGCTCGGCACTCGAGAAAACGCCACGCCAGTCACATACGACACTGGTGACACTGGTGTGACATCCACAGCAGAGCCAGGGTGGGATGGAAATAGCCATGGGCTACCTGCTCTCCCAAAATGCCCAAAGCCATCACCTGCATTTGGCATTTCCCTGGAAGACTCCAATCCCAGGAGATGCAGCACCACACAGGGATCCTGCTTTCCCTTCACCCATGCCAGGAATTAAATAAATGCTGGAAAGGCAAAGTCAGGGAGAGTGTCAYGGCTCAAGGAGAAAGCAGAGAAAAGGAAAATGCAACTGGTTTTTATGATGTCAGTGACGCAGGGCCACCAAAAGCCAAGGGGTGGTGCCCAGAAGGTGCTSCCTACAGGCAAAGACAGCATCACTCTGTCAAATTCCACCAAATCTGTCCTTGGATGGTCTCCCCCTTGACAGAAGCTCCCATTCCTGCTGCTACACGAAACCCAAACTCCTCCTCAGAAGGTTAAACCACTCGTTTCTCATCATCTCAGCCACGGACAAGAGGAATTCATTGGTTTTTTCCCCCTGCAGCAGTGTTTTATCTGTTTGCACATGGTTACCATGTAAACCCTTCTTTTCTCCAGACTAAAAAAAAAAAATCACTTTTTTTTTCAATGGAAAAATTCCATTGAATCATAGAATTATTAAGGTTTATAAAGGTTTGAAGAAAATAATTCCAGGATCATCGAGTTCAATGGTCCTCCCAGCACTGCCAAGGCCACCACTGATCCATGTCCCCAAGTGCCACATCCACATGGTTTTTAATCCCTCCAGGGATGGGGACTCCACCACTGCCCTGAGCAGCCTTTTCCAATGCTTGACCAACCTTTCCATGAGGAAATTCTTTCTGATGTCCAACCTAGACCTTCTCTGGTGCAGCTTGAGGTCATTTCCTTTCCTCCTGTCCCTGTTCTGTGGGACCAGAGCCTGACCCCCCCAAATGCCCCCTCCTATCAGGGAGTTTTAGAGGGCAAGAAGGTCCCCCCTGAGCCTCCTTTTCTCCAGAAAAAAAAATTGTTTCAGTGTCTTCCTGCAGCTCACATTTCTTACACCTCTACTCTTCCACACTCCTGTTCCCAACAGTTCTTCTCCAGGTTTGGGTTATTTTTAACACCATCTTTATTTTTTAATCTTTATTTTTCCACACCCTCGAGGATGGCTGAACCAAACTGCAACAATGACATGGAGCCATTCAAAAAGATTAAGAAGAAATTGTCAGGAGAGACAAAAAAGTCCTGCAATGATTTGTCCTGGATCYCTGGGTGAGGGTGAATTTCTAGGGATTCACCATCATCCACACAGTTTGAGCATAAATGTTTCTTACTGGGCACAGAGGGGTGATGTGACACCAATCCATGGAGGCAGAATCATGGAAAAACATGAAAATAATTGGGATTAACGAGACACAGAGCGTCTATCCATGRCAATGACACAAACTCCAAGTTCTCCCTGAATGTCAGAAAAGGTCACCTGTGTTGTGMCCCTTCCATGGATGGCAACACCGAGTTAAAATGCACCAAAAAGGTGCACCAAAAAGGGGTTTTTTGGGTATCAAATCCCAGATCTTTTAGTGCTGTCCCCTGCCTCTTAAACACCACACAAGTGGAGTACAGCTCTACCTGCTCCTGCTCCTCCATCATAATTCCTTCACACCACAAATCCCAGTCATTCCTCGTCTGACCCAGAAGACAAATTTCTCCCTATCCTATGGGACTGTGACCTCAGGAACACCCTGGAAAATGTTGGACAGCAGGAGCAAAGCAGCTCCAGGACCATTTCCAGATGAAAGCAAATGAACTTCCATTTTTACTCTCCTTGGTCTGTAAAAAAAGTTTGAAGCATCCTTCAAATCTGGCAAAGAGTGGAAAGGGAATACTTAAATCCTATTTTTTCTTGGTACAAGTCAGCTGTGAAGTTAAGTGGGAGTTAAAGTGAGAATAACTGGGAAAAGCAATATTTCTACTTCGTAGGATTTCACCAATTCATAAATACCAACTTAATTAATCAACATAAAATTTCACCCAGCTCCAACACTGATAATTCTTAACCCTATTTTTCCTCACACAAATGTGCAGAACTGGTGTAAACAGTTTTATTCCAGCTCATCTGTTTCCTTGTGGTGTTTTATTTACCTCTTTGAGGGTCTTTTCAACCTTTCCTAACACTGGTAAAGTGTAGACAAATTTGGAAGAAAGAAGAAAAAGGAAAAAAAATCAATGTCATTTCACCTGAAATTCGTTGTTCTCGGTCAAGCTGGTGGCAAACAGRCTTCTATAATTAGACTTTCAAATCCATATTCAGGCCTGATCTTCAATCTTTAGCAACACGATGCTTCCTCTTATGTCAGTGAAAGCCATTCACTGCTCTGTGCTTTTGAAAATCAGGCTAATTTATTTATTTAAGAGCTTAATTTTGGATACAGGAGCCTAACTTTGGGCCTCTTTTTTTTTTTTTTTTTTTTTTTTTATTTTACTATTTTTTTATATGAGTGTGTATATTTGTGTGTATTTTTAGTTCTAAGCCTCATCACGTCTTCAAGAGATAGAACTAATTTGGGGTTGGGAGGGGGATTGGGGTGGGGGTTTTTTGGGTTTGTTTTTTTTTTTTAGTGCACAAAGGATTGGTTTTCCCCTCCCTCCTGGCAGGATTCCCAGAATTCCTGTTGGTATAATTATCCTCACGTTTATTTACTACGTGTGTCATGGCAGCGCACGAAACGCTCGGTTCAAAGTCACTGCATCCCTTTTTGGGGAGCCAAATCCACCAAATCTGGTGAAATAGCCTTTGGAAAGAGCTGCAGGAGCCCACCAGGAGGGAGAAGAGGAGATGTTTCTGCTGTGAAAACAAAACCCACCCCAAACTCTGTGTAAAAAGCTGCTCCATGTGGATAGCAGGGAATGGATTCTGGAGGACGAGGCTCTGGGTTTGTGTCATTAAATAAAGCAGACCCAAGACCAACCTTTGTTCTTGGCCAGCTGGCCACCATTCCATGTGGCTACATCCATCTAGCTGGTCCTAGTCAAAATTTCCAGGGATTGTGCTGACAATTGATTTTGTGTTGACAATCCGGATTTATAGAGGTGGTTCCTGGTGTCACCAGGAGATGTAGGAGGATGCCTTTGGCAAAGGGAGGAGGATTTTGGTGTTTAAAAGGGTGGTGGGAGCATAGAAAGGCTCATCAGGACAGGTCCTGGGATGTGCTTTGAGGACAGAAGGGTCCTGGTGGCCTGTSCCACACGAGCTGGCCAAGGGCAGGAATCTCAGGGTGTCACCATCTGATCGCTCCTCCTGAGGACAATGGACCAAGAGCACCAGAAATGACCTCCCTAATCCTCCAGAAT